CAAACCACCACAGGAACCATTTCTCATTAAATATTCACCTAAAAGCCTGAGGTTGATTTTTACAGAACTTGAATTAGTAGCTGAATAATGTAGTAGCAACAACAGCTTTTCCTTTGATATACTCAGCTCATTCAACCTGTTATGGCGCTTCACTTAATCAGATTTTTTTCCTATCTGTCTAAAGTTGGGGAACAACAATGATTCCTTCACCAAATAGATGCCCCTTGCCCCAGCTGTTTGGAACTGCAACACTTATCATCTCTAGTTAGAATGATAATTCATCCAAGATGTCTGGAGAGCATTAGGTTAGAAAAGACACCAGCAGTGCCTTATGTTTCCTTGTATCACTAACGTACTCTATTATGAACAAAAGGGAATCTGTAGTCTTCCTCACTCCACAAAAAAATTGAGTGGATATTTTATGATCATGAAATTAAGTTGTGATTCAGACAAATAACAATACAGTCTATTAGTCAATTCAGATACATTAATCAGAGTTTTGGAGTCTAAATTTTACACGTGTGACACTGAACTACATGAAGTGAAGAAGACTGATGTTTATTGTTCAACAAAGTTCCTTACTGAAATATTATTTTAATTCCTTCTCAAATAATGGCAACCCAACATCCCCTCTGCACAGCACAACTATCCACAGATGGACCTACACTATGCTGACATCATATAACAACTTACCGATAAGCCTTTGAACCCATCCCATATGGCTATTATATGTTTTGAAGCAAGTAGGCAAGATGAGAGAGGCACCTGGCTACTGTCTCATGGCCAGAGGCACAATGATGACAAAAGGGATGAGACAACCTGAGAATCATGTGAATCTCAATGCTGATGTCATCAGTGTGAGTTGGCAATGAAGATTTAGCCAGATGCTTCTCTGGAGCCTTCATTTTTCTCACAAAACATGCAATGGCCATATTGGACTTGTTTGGCATGAGTACGTGTGTCCCTAGCAAAATTCTACAGTGTGTTTTATTAACTGTCTATCCCCTGGATCCTTGCCAGACTGAGACTTGATACACAAATACTTTAAATGACTAAATAACTCAGTTCCTTTCACATTACTGTATAACTAGGAAGAACCTATTACATTGTCTCTATAATGGAATACAAAAATCATCCAATTTGTCTTCTTCATTATCCATGAAAAACTGAAAATTATTCATTAGCTTTTCAATGACTAACTTCTATACAAATTAAAGTACTATAAATAGTATATCTGCTCTTTCCAGCACTTGACAGTTTTGATTCTTGCAGCTACTAACAAGTATATTATTAGAAATTTTTAAAATGTGCCATTKTATGGGGTATTGAAAAGGCTGAGCAAAACCTTTTCAATACCTTTTCAATACCTTTTCAAAACAAATAAATAAGGTGTCTAAATGCATGAATCCATGTGGCCTTAGAAATTATGTAACTTGCACTGAAGGCAAGAAGAGGAAGGCAAAAATTATTGCACTAGAACTGTTGTTGCTTTACATTATGATGGGAAAAGTGAGGAGAGGCAGGAAATAAACTGTGGGTCAAAGTGAGGAGAGGCAGGAAATAAACTGTGGGTCAAACTAGATAAGCTGCCCAGTTATGTTAGTGTTCTCCAATAATAGCTTTTGTTCAAAACTTTCAAACCTTTGGACACGCACGTCATACATACCAAACTGTCCATCAGCATGGCCTCCATGATACTGAGTGTTGTCGTTTTGTAACGTAGGAAAATTTCAATAGTCTTAGACGCTATCAGTGGATTCACTTATAATTCAGTGTTATTAAAAGCTGGCTCTCTCCATTGGAGGATCTAGCTATACAGTCAGTCAGGGCAACTTCATTCATGTCTGTGTCCACTCAGGGAAAGCCCTCTCTCAATAAAATGGAGACCAAGTAATGACAGAGAGACACCTAAGTTTTCTGGTGTCACAAAGACTATGGATCAGGTGATGTGGGGGCTGCCATGCGGAACTCCTTCAAATATAATTTAAGCTACAGGAATTAAACTCTTTTCTGCTTGTTGCTGTTACCTTGCAGCATCTTCCTCAAGGAGCAATTTCACAAACTGCCTGGGAATGTGTAGGGAGAGGACACTCTCTGCCATTTGCTCCAATATTCTCAGATGGTTCCCGTCTGTGGTGGGGAAACGATACATCCGACAAATGGCTCCTCCAAACACTGAAATATTAAAAACACTTACGTAAGAATGTCATTTGCAATCAGGCAACTCAAATCCCATTCCTCTGAGGCTGGTGAATACAATTAAGCAGACTGTTTGGAAATCACACATTCTACTAATCCATAACACACAAAACCTAGGTTGCTTTTTCAGACACATAGAGTCCTAAAGTTTCACCTATTAAAACACATTGTCAAAAGACTCCAACCTTTTCTCCTTTTTCTGAGAGGTCTATAAAACTTAAAATAATAGCTGAAGACAGCAGCAATGCTGAAAATGAGCTCACATCTCAACCTTCTTCTTTCTTGAGCATTTGGCTGCAAGCTACTTTCAGCCAGGGAATGAGGCAGCAAAAGCAGCAGTTACTTGGCACACGGGCAAGCACAAGACAGCATTCAGTTTGCTGGTCTCCTAAATATAGCTCTTAACACAGAGAAGAGAGGACTGATGTGCTCATACTGCTATTATCTGCCTTTCTGTCTGCCTTTAGCTAGACATACTGGTGCAGCCAAGAACCAAAGCATTATAAGCATATTATAGGGGTTCTAAGGACTATCCATCTGCCTTTAGGTTTTTGAACATCTTGTTCTTACCAGGTGCTCCTAGAAATCAGGTGAACAGTCTGCATACAAAAAGGTACGATGTCCATAAACTGAAAACAGAACATCTCTTTCTCCTGTGCACAAAGGCACTTTAGGCATATGCTGAGTTCCTTCTAGATCCCAAGTTGTATCAATGGTATCTGCTACACAACTAATGCAGGTTGAGTATCTTTTGTCCAAAATGCTTGAGACCAGAGCATTCTGTATTTTGGTTCCCCCCCCCCTCAGATTTTGGAATATTTGCATATACATAATAAGCTGTTTTGAGATGGGACTCTAATCTAAACACTAACAACAACAACAACAACAACTTTATTTTTATACCCTGCCTCCATCTCCCCAAAGGGACGCGGGGCAGCTTACATATGACACAAAGTGCCTAAAACAATGCATAAAATAAACACACAGTGCAATACAAAAAGTAAAACCAATAATATATATAACAACAATTTAAATATCAGAACAACGTACAATAACCTCTGGTGACAACTGCCTTCAAACAAGGCCAACAATAAACAGACAAGGGAATGGGACAGTGCAAATTGTAGCTACAGAAAAAGGTCATGCAATGGAAGTACAGTGTTGTGTCATAATTGCAGACCACTGGGAGTAGACATTCTCAAAGACTTGTTTAAACATTCAAGTCTCCAGAAGGAGGACAGTGTGGGGGCTGCCTAATCTCCTTGGGGAGGGTGTTCAGAGCCGGGGGGGGGGGCACCACTGAGAAGACCCTCTCCTTTGTTCCCACCAACTGCACCCTCATTCCCACCAACTGCGCTCTTATCCCCACCAACATAAAATTCATAGTATGTTTCTTATACACATAGGCAAAAGGTAACTGTATACAAATACATTTAATACTTTTGTGCATGAAATAAAGTTTTTGTACACAGAACCATCGGAAAGCAAAGGGGTCACTATCTCAGCCATATATATGGACAATTTTAGATTTTGGAAAAATTCAGATTTTGGATTCCGCACAAGGGATGCCCAGTTTGTATTGGCTACCAGTGTTGTCTTGCTTCCATGTTATAATAATAATAATAAACACAGTAAAAACAATCAATAACAACAAATAATAAAAACATTAAAATCAATTAACATCATAAAAACAATATCCTGGCAGGCCAATTTGAACCAGGTTCGGATTCAGAGTAAGCGCAATGATTCCTTGGGAGAGCCGAGTGAAAGAGGGATGAGTTGCCAGTGTAATGTCCTTGGCCAGTAAAGTGTCATAAGTACAGGAAAGGGGCCAACTAAAGTGCTGGAGCTTAGATAAGGTCAGGACAATGCTCAAGTGAACCGCCTAGTCAAAGGCTCAATGGAACAACCACGTTTTTAATTCCTTGCGGAAAATGGAGAGAGTGAGGGGCCTGTCTGATCTCCCTAGGAAGATAGTTCCAGAGCTGAGGGGCCACCACAAAGAAAATGTGGATGAAATGTGGCAATCACTGTTGCTTGTTTATATTATCAGCCCCCAAAGCTATTGCTTGTACAGTCCAGTCACTGTATATTCAGAAAAGACAAACTATCTTCTAACTGAGGCAAATGTGTTCAGTGGCTTGTTTACCACTGGCCATGTGATTTTTCTTACTGAGTTTTCTTACTGCCATAGAGAATTGACTGTTGGAGGAGCACAGAAAATAGAGAAGGGGTACAATACAGTTGCTAAAATACCAGAAGCACTTCAAACTTTGCATTTTGGTGATGGTCTCATTTGTAAATCCCTAAATAAATATTGCTTTTCATTGGACTGGTTTGAGGGAAGCTCTTCAACCCTTTAGGATTCCCTCCACAACATACTTCTGCATTGCAGAGGTTCCTTGTGGTTCTTTCACACTTGTGGACAGTTCCCTCTTGGTCACAGAGAGTAGTGTTTGGGCTATATAAGCAATGGCCCCCACAGCCTGAAAATTGGAGACCGAGGGAACTACAATTCACTGAATAGATATGGGATGCAGAATTATCAGACCAGGCAGCTACTTACCAGACTTTAATAAAGAATCTTTCCGTAATGAAGCGTACTTGGATCGGATTCCTAATGACTCTGTTAAACTTTCATCAACAGGCAGCACAGTCTGAATAAAATATGAAAAGCAAAAACAAAGTTGAATCACATCATTTCCCATTTATAAAACATGTTCCTGGCTAACCTAAAATGAGCACTTATTCCAAAGAATGATGCTAACAGTTTTTTTTTTAAATCTACTGTCTTTTAGCAGGCAGGAATACAATATGCCACACACAGGTATATTTCACAAAAAATATAAAGTTAAATCTGAATTTATGCAGGTGTATGTTGTATGCTGTTACAATGAGTAAATTTCCATTTGTAAAATGCAATGGTATTCAATGATTATCTTGTATGGTTCTGATGTTCCTCATTTGTGATGACCATTTCAAACAAATATGAACTACATGAAATCTACAGTTGAAATTATCATTTCAGGAGTAATTGTCCATCAACATGAAGAAAACTCCAGAATATATTTGGACATACTCATTTCCAGTCTTTCTATTCAGTGCTGATGTACTGAAGAAAGCCTACATAGGCACCAGATCCTGTCTGATCTTGGAAGACAAAGCAGGGTCAGCCCTGGTTAATGCAATGCTTGGATGGGGGTACTTTGGGCTATATTTCAGGAAAAGAACTGGCCAGACCACTTTTGAGTATTCTTTCCATAACAAAACCCTATAATATTCACAGAGTCATCAGAAATTGGTAGGCAATTTGAAGACACATACGCACACACACAACACACTGAAAACCCATGTAATTTAGTAACTAGAGTATAGGTTTTGAAAAAGGAGATTCAGGTTCAAATTTTAGGCTCAGGTGTGAATTTGGGGAAGTGGTTCTCTGTTTTCTCCAGTGGTGGGAGCTGTTGTGCAAAGTGTTGGTTTTGACTTCTAAAGTTCTATGTGGTTTGGGTCCAGGTTACCTACAGGATAGTCTTCTCCCGTACAATCCACCCTGAACACGGAGATTCTCCGGGAGGGTGTCTACTCTATTCAATCACAACCCAACTGGTGACTGTCACCCAGAGGATCTTTTCATCGGCCGCCTCACAACTATGGAATGACAACTAAATCAGCTGTTGGAATTTAAAACCATCTGAAGAGCTATCTCTTCTGGCAGGCCTACCCAGCCATTCTTAAGCATGAATTTTAAACTCATGTCTTGTTCCACTATATTTCAAGCATTGCTCTGTGTATTTTAATATGTGTATTTTGTAGAAATACGTTTTAATATGTGTATTTTATATCAAGATTATGTGTTTTTAGCTATGTTGTAACCCGTCTTGGGATTTCTGGGAATTGTAGTCCAAAACACAACTCCAGATCCTTTTGAACTGCAATTGCTACCAGGGCTATTCATAATAGCTGTGCAGAAGTCATTGATACTATGTATATGTTTAACTGTTAGAATATATTTGTGTTGGTAACAGTAGCTGAAACTAGAGTTAACTGGTTGTATCCACAGTGAGGTTGCCAAGGAGACCAGGCAGGAGAGTGAGAAGTGGGCGGAGCCAAGCAGAAGAAGTTATGTGTGTCTTTGAAAAAGGGGCAGTTGAGAGTTATAGTCGGAGTTGGCAGTTGAGAGTGGAGAGTAATGTGTGTGAATAGCTGAAGGTTTTTCAGTCTAGGAAGGCTGAAGGGAGAAACCTAACCAGTTTCTTTAGTCAGAGAAGACTAAAGGAAGCTTGTTAAGATCACTAGTCAGGGAAGGACTAGAGATCAGATATTTGATCAAGGAAAGGTCAAATTTGAAGGCTATTCATATTAGGAAACATCGTTCATTAAAGTGCTTCACCTCAGTAAAAGTTAATCACAAGTTGTGTCATCTAGAAGAGTGGACTGTATTGCAAACCAAGTGTTAATCAAAGTTCTATAAGTTATTCAAAGTTATTTAACAGTCTGCAACCATACGCTTTGTACATAATAAACTTGTTAACTTTTGTTGAAGACCATCTCATCTCCATTAATCTGCGTCTGTGGAGCCAGATCTCATCGGCAATACCTCACGTTGGTGGCAGTTACCTTAATTTACAAGTAATAATTGGCCTCCTCTATAACAAATTTTTATACACCATTGAGGCCTGAGATTAATTACATCCATAATCATCCACACCTGTATAATTGGTGGCAGAATTAAGAACAGTCTTTACAATAGCAAAGTTCAATGACATCTAAAGGGACACACAACTCCCACCTTGTTGTCCTTCATTGTCTTGAGTTGAAGGCAAGAAGTTTGCACTCACCCTTCCATTGATCATATCAGGAGACCTGGTAACAGGAGGTCTTTGGTCCGTTTTTTCTTCCATTTGCCATCCTATGACTGTAACGTTGCCAACACGAAGACTTTCAGCAGATCTGCAAAACAAGCATTACCAATATCAATCTGATATGATTGTATCAATTGCTCTTACATACATAGTACATTGTATAGCATCAAATTGTGATGTTGATAGTAACCTCTGCTCTTAACTCTGCAGAAATGTGCAAATTGTAGCCCTATCCTGCATAATTGGGATGATGGGAGTCCAACAATGTGTGGAAGGTCACATTTTATCCACTGCTGTTGTATAGCTGAACAAATGAATCAAGATTCATATTAAAGGTAGATATTTAACACTAAATGCACCACAAAACAAATAAATAAGGTGTCTAAATGCATGAATCCATGTGGCCTTAGAAATTATGTAACTTGCACTGAAGGCAAGAAGAGGAAGGCAAAAATTATTGCACTAGAACTGTTGTTGCTTTACATTATGATGGGAAAAGTGAGGAGAGGCAGGAAATAAATAAATAAACCTCAAGCTCCTTATGGTCCCTCAGATCTATTTCTGGGCCTCTGAAACCCCCTGATGAACTCCTCTAAATCCACAGAAACCATTTTATTTTTATTTTTAAAAAGACTCATTTCAGGCCATTTTTCAGAATATGTCCTGAGGCGTGTTTCACTTCTAAATGGTACACATTGTAGGAGCCAATTAAAGCATATTAGATTTTTAAATGCAGAAATAGCTCTAAAGATACTATATATAATACTACACCGCATTTTTTTTAATTGAATTGTGAGAAGTTGTCGAAGGCTTTCATAGCCAGAACCACTGGGTTGTTGTAGGTTTTTTTGGGCTGTATGTCCATGTTCTAGAATGCTTCTAGAACATGGCCATACAACCTGAAAAACCTACAACAACCAGGTGAGAAGTTTGCTATTCATCTACCATTCTGAGTCTTGAACACTTTTCTAATCTGAGCTTGGAAAAGTTCCTTTTTTTGGACTGCAGTTCCCAAAATCCCCAATCAGGCATGGCCACTGACATTACTAATGGGGGGAATTATGCCATTGGTAGTCCAAAAAGTTGTAAGGGTGGTTCTAATGAATATATGAAACTGCTTCCGACCCGCTATCCATCTGAGTTCCATAAATAACCAGTGGATTGAGGTCCAAATTTTGTGAATTATCTATAGAGTTAACATTGGGCATCATTCACAACTGTACCCATGTAAGCATGTGGCACAGAAAAGACATAGCTTAAAGGTCCTATCTGATCTAGATCAGATCCACACTTAAACAGAATTAATTACACAGCCAACAAAAAAAATGGAGAGTTTTTAGGTCTGTTCCTGGGGTTATTTGGGGTGCTGATTTGGAAAATTGTACTGGACAGGCCACATCAGCTCTAGTTTCTTTGATATGGTTATTGCAACAACCACACAAGATTGATAGAGGACTGAGGAGACAAACGACAAGGTCTAGCCCAAGGAGAGGCCATGAGGGACAGGAGCACCCACACCCTCACACACACCAGGCCAGACAGTGGGAAGCTACCACTGTATTTTAAATATTTTCCTTTGCTGCCACCAAATATTTATTAAAATTTCTTCTGCTACCACCAATTTATTATTTCATAGGTCACTCCTTCACTGGAATGTTTAAAAAGCCACATAAAGTCTTCAGATGAAATAAAAAAAGAATATGCTGTTATTTTGTTCTGGAACAGTAAATAAGCGAAGTGATTTCAATAAATTAACAGGCTTTACGTTTTGTCAGAGAATGGTCTTATAGCTTGAGTTTCTTAAACAAAGTTCCACACACAGAAATACAAACAGGATCTTTTGAACCTTTTGAATCATACTTTCACACCAGCACTCTAATCATTATAGAGGCCTAATTATTTTCCTTTAAACAACAAACAGTTCCGAAAACTCTTCCTTCCTTCCCTTCAAAACTCCTAACCCTTCTTCAGACTCTAAATTCCCAACTGACTTAAAAAGGCTGCCTTAGCTTCTTCTCTTTCCCCCTGGCTCTGCCCATCTCCAGTTGCTGAGCGTTTCCCTCCAATTTCATCAGCTAATCAGACGACACCTCTAGCTATGAGGCTGCCTGATGGCTCGACCCCTCAGCTCTCCTTAGCTTTGGCCAGCCGGGCCTTTTTACTGCCTTTTACACTAACCCTTTAAAGTAGGCCAATTCCTTACAATTATCATAGTTTTCCATGGGTGAGCAGATGGTAACTGGTAGATGACATATGTTCTGTATCTTAACATTTACAGTTGATAGGGGAAATCCTATCAACTGTACCATTTTTTAAATCAGTAGGTCAAACATACCCAGGAACAGGACTAACATTTGAGGCACCAAAATGTGTGTTGGCCAGTGTAATCAGTGCAGTTAAACAAACCGCAATAAGCAGAGAATTTTCTACAATAAGTAGAGATGTTGAGTCCCAAACACTATTCAAATAGAATAAAATTAAGAACAAACCTTAGTGTTAAATGTAACCTATGGTGTCTTTCCTTCAGTAGATCCTTTACAGTAAACATCACAGAACCCAATAAATACATCTGAAAAAGACAAGTATCATTAATGCTGAGGCTATTTTTAGTATAGAAAAGACATCTCGATGACCTCAGTATGACATACAAAACCCACATCCTCCAGTCAGACTTTCACCCCCCCCCACCCCACCTTCACTGTTACAATTAAGAGGTCATGGCAAAATGTACTAGCCAAGTTATTTCAACCCCCACATCATAAGGACAAACTGTGGTTTACAGTTGCCTCTCTGCCTTCATTTTGCTTCCCCCCACATAACCCAGGCAGGCAAATACTGAATCCCAAAGCATTCTAACTCACCATTTACTTTAAATGTAAGATTTTTCAAGATGAAGTCTCCCCATAAGTGAAACCATATGTGAAACCCCTACTGTAATAATATATCTCCCCAGAACACATTACTGCAGTCCATGTAGGGCCAGGGGATAAATTGGTTCCAGGTATTCCTATAGACTAATTCCAATTATTAGTCCCAACAAAACCAGCATCACTGAATAAATGAATAAATCAGAGGTTCTCAACCAGTGGGTCCCCAGGTGTTCTTGCCTTCAACTCCCAGAAATCCCAGCCAGTTTACCAGCTGTTAGGATTTCTGGGAGTTGAAGGCCAAAACATCTGGGGACCCCAGGTTGAGAACCACTGCTTGAGAAAATAATGTTGGAAGCACTCTGGACTTGATTTTTAGCAAAAGGAAATTAGAAATCAGGAGGGCAAAATTATTATTCAAATGCTACAGCCATACAAACAACAGAGAGGGATTTTTGCAAAGTAGGACTTACAGTTCCCTGAGATCTATCTTTAACATCATATACAGAAAGTTTTATTTGTGTCATCTGATTAATAAGAGAGTCTTGAAAAAAGGCAATACTGCTGAGAAAGATGGGATTGCTTGTTCCCTACAATAAAAAAAAGAAATGAAAAAGTTAGGAGGGGTACCTTGGTATCAGTTAAAAATTAAGCACCAGCACGAGTAAACATGGCATTGCTTACCTCGATAATTTCTGTCTGTGCATGCTTTGTCCAAAAGGCCTGAGGAGGTGTAGTTACGCTCACTGCTACAAAACTATTTGGCTTCCTATCTAGCGACGGAGTAAGCAGCTCACTGCAAGCTGTAGAAAATAAGGTTATTTTTCCATATCAAGGCATAGTCACACAAATACAATTTGCCAAGAATAAAAGTAGAAAACCCTGGCTGTTTCTCACTTTTCTCCCTTGTTCCTACCTCACTGACACCTTACAACATTGAAGCCTGGTGATGACCATTTCACACCATCAGCACTTTTTTGTGGCACCTTGTAGAATAACACGCAGGCAACAAAAGACTGTTTCCTATCTAAAACTGACAGTGGAAAAACAAGGGAGTTGGAATGTGACTCACAAAGGTAGAGATGAAATAATGAGGCCAAATGCTGTTATGTGCTCTTAATTCTTTGCTACAATTTGGAATGACTAAGGATTAGAAGGAAAGGAAAGAAGTGGCAATACAGTATATATATCTTCAGGTGAGAACAAAGATAAATTGCAAGAGCAATGCATTTTAGAGTTGATGAAGGGTACTAACACTGAAGAAGAGGGTGTCATTGGTGAGGATATAATTAGGAATTGGCTCATTTTTCTACAGCTCAGATTTTATTTTAGCATCTGTCCCTCTGTTTGTATTCTTATTGTATTTTTTATTTTGTCAGAATACCACCTTGCATGGCTACTTCTTATTACTTCTGTCATTAGAAAGGTATGAATATTAGAATAAAACATTTTCAAAAGAGTTAAAAAAATAAGGGCTTATGCTAGACATGATTACAAGGAGAGAGAAAAGGCTTGTAATATTTTTTAAAAATACCAAAATGCGTTTGCTATTTTGCACAGAAAAGAACACTGTTTTTGACAGCATCTCCCATTAGCCCTAGTTAGCGAAAACAGTGGTGGGGAGTCATGGGAGTTGGGATCATGGGAGGCCAACAATCCTTCTCCTCTCTATTCTCCGCTTTGATAATTGATTTAACACAGTGGTTCCCAACCTGTGGTCCATGGACCACCAATGCTCAGCAAGAGCTAAAATATGGTCTGCTGCCTCAATGTTTCTACACCGTTCCAACCAGAGTGACTGGTCTCATGAAACCCTCTTATCAAAGTGCCAAGGCTTATTAAATATGGTTTTTGTAGGAGAACAGATGGCGACTACTGGATGGCATATATTCTGTATCAGAAACTACAGGATGTGGCCTAACCAATGCAATTTTCTGAATCGGCACCCCAAAATAACCAAACCAAATCTAACCAAAATTGATTCGTAACCCTCTTTGTACTAATGTTGGAGAGGGGTCCCTGGTCAAAAAAAGGTTGGGAACCATTAATTTCACAGGTCACATGTCATACAGAACAACATTACTGATTGTGAATGTCAGCATATGCAAATACGATGTTTGAAAAATATACAGTCAGTCCTACACATTTGCTGGGCTTAGGGGTGGAGGGTCCTTGAAAAAGTGAAAAAATGTGAATAAGAAACCACTATTTTTAAAAACCTGAAATAACAACTCTTTATGCATCTCTAGGTTCTTCAGTGCAACCCTATGGTGAATTCCAGCCAGAGGCTGACTAATATGGTCTCTCTAGGTTACCAGCACAACTCTATAGTCCACATCCACCAGAGGTTGACCATACAGTTGCACTGGAGCATCCAGAGATTCATAGAAAGACTATTTAATCAAATCCACAAATGTTAAATCTGTAAATGTGGAGGGCTGTCTACACATTTCTCTCTTTCTCTCTCTCATTCTCTCTTTTTTCCTCACACACACAGATAAGTACTTACCTAAACTGAATTCTAAGATTGGCTCATCGGGATCCTGGATATTTCCTACAAAGAAAAGCAGTTAGTAGAAGATCAATTATAGACTGTTGTTATGTAGCAGCAGAGCTTATACACTGGCAGCCCAGGAGCAAGAAGCAGAAGTGGCTTCCAGTACTCCACACTACCACTGCTTCTCCCAGGAGGGTTTTCATCTTTCTAAAGGCACAGTAGGTCAATAGTTACTGCTCTCTTCCTCTCTCTCAGTCTCTCTCTCTCACACACACTGCTCTATCCCTAGCTTGCATCCATGCAGGAGCCATTTCTTCTACCTCATCATAGATGTTGAACTGCTAAAAGTATTATCTCTCCCAGAGTGGACTTCTCCTGTTTTCGCCAAGACTGCAGATTAAATCTGCCATTTGCATACTTCGTAAACACTTCATGTTTCTCATTTCCTACTATTTTTCCAATGATCAGTTTTCAAGGTTTCCCTTGACATTAAGTTAGGTCATGTCCAACTCTGGGAGGTGGTGCTCATCTCCATTTCTAACCCAAAGATCTGGTGTTGTCCGTAGACACCTCCTAAGTCATGTGGCCAGCATGACTGCATGGAGAGCCATTACCTTCCCGAAGAAGCAGTACCTACTGATCTACTCACATTTGAATGTTTTCAAATGCTAGGTTGGCAGAAGCTGGGGCTAACAGCAGGAACTCACCCTGCTCCCCGGATCCGAACCACTGGCATTTTGCTCAGCAAGTTCATCAGCTCAGTGGTTTAATTTGCTGCGTCACCTGGGGCCCCAGTTTTCAAACAAGCACATTTTCTTCATGTACACATTTTGTATTCACTGACTCATACAGACACAATCCAGGAGATCTTCCCACTCATAAACAGGTGTGCACCCTCGCACCTACATCTGCTCACGCCCACCCAGCCATGGAAAAAGGATGAGTAGGCAGAGGATGGGGGTGACAGCGCCTTCTCCAGCAGCCCTGCTCACATGTTTGCCAAAAGAGAAGGAGGGAGAGCGACACGGAACTGGTTATTATTGTGAATACCCACCATAACAAGTGTGGGAGTGGAGACTGGTCCCATGCACAATAGACAATTACAGTACTGTTATTCCATCTTAACTTCTGTGATTCCATTCCTTTCAAAGCATTCCCTGAGCAAGGTTTGCCCAGCCCTTCCCTTCACTGCTGTTGGTCCAGGAGCTTTTCCCCATCAGATGAATCTATCCCTACCCCAGAGACAGATTAAGCTGATGGAGCAAAGCTCCTGGACCAACAGCAGTGAAGGGAAGGGTTGGGCAAACCTTGCTCAGGGAATGCTTTGAAAAGGAGGAGAAGTCATGTAAAAATGTAAGATTTTTTCCATATTAAAATGTGAATATGTGTTTGTTTTTCTTTGTTTTACCTCTTTCAGAAAAAAATAGAATAAAATAAAGCATATAGGCCAGGATGCAAAGAACCATATAACTAGATCACCAAAGGATTCCTTTCCCCATCACACACATAAACATTTACAACTTTTTTTAATGTATGAGAAGGAAAATCTTGTTTAAGGAGAAAAATGGTTTTTTTTAAAGTTCCAATGGGTATTTTTAATCATTTAGACACACACGGAGTAGTTCCCAGTGGAGGCCAGTTTGGATCATCTTCAATTTCTGGTCTGAAATTATTAATTAAAATCTATAAGGCATTAATAAGTGACAAAAATGCAAGAGTCCTTAATTAGATACAAGGTACAAGAATTCGTAATTACAAAAAGACACGGTATTATGGGTCTCTTTTATGCTTATTCCACACAACCCCTTTTCTATGTTACTTTCTGCCTACTCTCCTCCATGCTGTCCTGCCATCTTGCCTGTTGATCGTAATTTTGGGATAGGAGAGATACATATCATACTCTGTGTGTGTTTCCAAACCATTTTTCATCACCATCATCTGGGGAAAAGACTCAAACTTCAAACATCAAAACAAGATTCATAAAAGATATATTACAAGTGTGAGAACAGAGAGAAAGAAAAGGATAGTCACCTGTCAGAGATAAACCTAACATGTCAGAGGCAACATCGATCGTTGAAGCTCTCTGCATACTGCGGGATTTTGCACCATGCCGGGGGCTGATATCTCGTAATGACATGTTGTCATGGAGCAGAAAACTCCTTTCACTATCTGACCACAGCAATATCTTCGGGAAGGGTCAAAATGCAGCAGCGTGTTGTCTTCACTTGCAGCCCTTATGATGTTAGCATGCTATGGCATGAAAACAATAACATACACAAAGAATCTGAATTAGGTTGCATGACATGTTACCTTGAATGCCTGCCTTTCAAAGAGTTTAAAAGTAGCTTTGAGAAGAATTTATTAACAGCACATGATGGAAAAACAGTATTTTAAAATTAATTTTAGGATAATACCAGCTGCAGTGTGTATCAATATAATCTCTGCAGCAAAGATAAATGAACATAAACAAAATATTAAAGCTGCAGCATCACATACATATGCACAAGGTTACACATACATTACACTGTAATCTTATGACTTGTTATGGAATTTAAATGCTTATATTTCACCTTAAACCATAAGATTTCAGAGTGACACAGAAAAGTAAGAGCAGTTATTCCTTTATCATTTATATCCTGACATTTTCCTGCTACAGGACCCAAGGTGGCACTGTAGAGCATATAGTTAAATATAACTAAAAGTGTAAAACATATAATATAGCTTAAAACAATGTAAACAATATATTAAAGCTGATCTGCTGTTAATATGACCTTAGGCTGACAAAACCTGAAAATGACTTTAATAAAAATAATAATAATAAACCTTTATTTGTACCCCGCTACTATCTCCCGAAGGACTCAGTGTGGCTTACAAGAGGCCGAGCCCAAATACAATAGTAAAAACAACAGCAACAACAAACAGCAAAATAAACTCAGAAAACAAAGCAATAACATTTGACAACACACAATAACACAATTAAATCAGGGAAGAAAACTTATTTGATATGAAAAATAAAATTAAACTTTGTATTATTAGATCTGCATCCGCTACCACAATACGATGCAGAAAAACAAATGGCATTTTACAAATTGGATATAGTAATAATAATCTTTATTTATATCCTGCCCTATCTCTGCAAGGGGGCTCAGGGTGGTTTACAACAAATATTGGCAAACATTCAATGCCATTAAATAATAACATCCCAAGTGATGTTGAAGGAGACACGATGGAGCTGTGCCTTCCTGGCTGCCCCCTATTATTATTTTACTGACACAAAACCACAGTATGTCACAGCAAATGAGATATAAATGCTGGATTTCGTATCACAAAATCACAACTCAAACACTTCCCAAGCGTCTAGGACTGTGTGATGTATTTTTGAATGATGCACACAGATCCAAGTAAGATGGCTTTTTGCAGATGACAGATTGTGATTTTGTCGATGTTGTTGTTGTTGTTATTATTATTATTATTATTATTTTAATCCAAACCAGAGTTTTACAGATATTTCATGTTAGTGACACATCTTTTAGAAGTTCATCATTTCATGAATCAATAATTCAACTTTCCTAGCAAACCAGATAAGGACACACAAATAAACTGTAATGAAATATATGGGGAGACGACATATGTCATGAAAACTTTGCATTTATATATTTTAAATTATAAATGTATTGCTTATGTCACATAGATTCAGAGGTTTCTTGTTACATTTGCATGACAGCCACTGCACTCAACATACTAATGTGTTGCAACACACCATTTGGAAAGCTCTAATCTGAACTATGATGTGTTGTTATACAGAAAGAATTTTGGCATGTTTCATTTTTCCAGTCCTTTCTCCCATCTGCTGCCCTTTTACAGCATGGCCACTACATGTTGCGTCCACTTACATTTTATATTAACCATAGGGTGCCATGCTATGTGAACACAAAAATGAGCCTGTGTTTGGTTAGGTTAGTTAACATGTAAACATAGCTATGAAGAAGCCAGCTTTATCGGGTTACATTTCAAAGAAGTTAACTTATTTCACATAACCTATGTTTACATTCAGGTGACATGACAAAATGCAGTTTAGCTAAATGAAAGAGAAATCTTAGCCCAAGGGTGACTAAGAGTAATTCTTGTGATAGCTAAATAAAGTCAGTTGTGACTCATGGACTGAAATATCTGCATGTCTGTGTATGTGTATGTCTTTCACTGGAGAAATCTGGTGCTGTTTCGGGGGGAGGCAGGGAGGAAACCCTAAACCAGAGACGGACAAAATACACCCCATGTGTACCTTGCAGCTCCCCATCCCTGCTATGCAATACTCTGCATTGTTTCTTTTAAAATAAGAAGCACCCTGCCCACACACCTTGTTTACAAGAAGAAGTAGGCCCTAGAAGTCTCTTGGAAGTGTGTTATGACTTGTAAAGAAGGTATGTGAGGAGGCTGGGTCTTGCTGTAATGGAAAAATAACAGGCAGAGGAGTACTGCAGCAAAAACAAAATTTGGCATTAGCAATGGAGATAGGGCTGCCAATAGCCTCCCCAATTCCTAGACTGGAAATGAACAGGTCTTTTCAGACAGCTGCCTTCCACCCATTCAAAATGGCTTTTCTCCAGAAATGGCTTTGCAAGTCTTTCTCCCAGCTCTTTCTCAAATGAGCTCTTTCTGGACAAGTCTTCATGTAGGAGCTGAGCTGAGTTTCTGTGCAGCCAAAGTGATCTGCTGTACTCTTTGTCCATCTAAGGCCTTGGTTCTTAACCTGTGGGTCCCCAGCTGCTTTGGCCTTCAACTCCCAGAAATCCTAACAGCTGGTAAACTGGCTGGGATTTCTGGGAGTTGTAGGCAAAAACACCTGGGGACCCACAGGCTGAGAACCATTGGTCTAAGGAGCATCCAAGTCATGCCAGAGTTAAAGAAAGACTTGAATAACTCAACAGCACATGACAATGCAGGACACAGCACAGGGTACAAAAATGAAAGGAATAAGCACATAACTCCAACAAGAAAATCATGCAGTTTAAAATTAAAAACAACCATAAAAAGTATCAAACTAAATAAATTGCCCAGGATCATCCACTCAAACCGTAAGTCAAAACTGAATGTACATTTTCATAGTCTTTATGATGTTTTATTCAAAGCACTTTAATACTTACAGGAAACTATTATCCTCTTGTGTGAGGTTATGGTATTGCATCTCTTAAAGGCGGTGTTTTCCCATCTGGAAAAAAGAAGTACACAAAGGTTCGATTGATCCAACAGCAGCTCTAAAATTGATATTGATTTAAAATACTTCTATTTAGTGTTCCATTTCATGTCTGTGAAATTCAACTATTGTAATAGCTTTTGGTCTGCAAGAAGAAATTCAAAGAGATTTAACCATAACCTGTTTAGAAGCTTGTCAACCTTACAGCCTTTCCTTTATAGAAACAACACCAAACAGCTATATAAAAGCAATGAATGTTATGCGTAGGAGGAATTACATCAAATTATACCTTGGTGAGTAGTAGCATGAGAAGGGAGAAAGAAAGCTGTAAGCTTGGATGAAAATAAGGTAGTTGTTAACTGTTTTTCTAGGATTGACTCTTCAAAATAAACCAAAACTTCTATATCCTCTATTAAAAGTTTTAGATGTTTAGCTGCAACAAGACATTGCTGAACAAAGATATTGATAAGAATATTATAAACTCAGATAAAGTTTCTAAAATGCCCAGAATTTTTTCAATCTGCTCAATTATAGCATTGTGATTCTATTTTAACTGCCATAGTTTCATCTTATGAAATCCTGAGTATCTGATCAGCTGCTAGAAATAAAAACAGAAAGAAAGTTGTACATATCTATGTGTGTATGTAATCCACTTTGCTTTTTGCCATGGGAAGAAATATAACTCAGTTCTGGGGCCTTGTCTCACTAAAAATATATAGCATGACAGGAAAACTTGGAGAAGATAATGATGCTGGGAAAATGGAAAGAAAAAGGAAGAGGGGCCAATCAAGGACAAGATGGATGGATGATATCCTTGAAGTGACTGGCTTGACCTTGAAGGAGCTGGGGGTGGCCAAGAATAAACAACAACAAACAATTCTGCAACACAATCCTGCAGTTTTTATTTTGCTGGGAATTATAAACACCTATTCCTTAACAGATGACACCACTCTGATGGCCGAAAGCGAGGAGGAGCTGAGGAGCCTTCTAATCAAGGTGAAAGAAGAAAGCTCAAAAGCCGGGTTGCAGCTAAACATCAAAAAAACCAAGATTATGGCAACAAGAATGATTGACAACTGGAAAATAGAGGGAGAAAATGTGGAGGCTGTGACAGACTTTGTATTTCTAGGTGCAAAGATTACTGCAGATGCAGACTGTGGCCAGGAAATCAGAAGACGCTTACTTCTTGGGAGGAGAGCAATGTCCAGTCTCGATAAAATAGTAAAGAGTAGAGACATCAGACTGGCAACAAAGATCCGCCTAGTCAAAGCCATGGTATTCCCTGTAGTAACCTACGGATGTGAGCTGGACCTTAGGGAAGGCTGAGCGAAGGAAGATCGATGCTTTTGAGCTGTGGTGTTGGAGGAAAGTTCTGAGAGTGCCTTGGACTGCGAGAAGATCCAACCAGTCCATCCTCCAGGAAATAAAGCCCGACTGCTCATTGGAGGGAAGGATACTAGAGACAAAGTTGAAGTACTTTGGCCACATCATGAGGAGACAGCAAGGCCTGGAGAAGACAATTATGCTGGGGAAAGTGGAAGGCAAAAGGAAGAGGGGCCGACCAAGGGCAAGATGGATGGATGGCATCCTTGAAGTGACTGGACTGACCTTGAAGGAGCTGGGGGTGGTGATGGCCGACAGGGAGCTCTGGCGTGGGCTAGTCCATAAGGTCACAAAGAGTCGGAGACGACTGAACGAATGAACAACAACAACATTCCTTAACAAGAAATCCCAGTATTTCATAGGACAGAATCATGACAATCACAACAGAACCATAGTGCTATAATTGTGTAGTATGAAAGGTCCCCAAGTCTGCTGGTTCTCTGGTTGGTCTTGAAAGTGATTATTGGAGATGTCCAAATGACCACTTTTAAATTACTCTTAATTAAGTCATTGACTTTGAGCTGAAATGTTATGTCAGATAAAGGATATGGCAATCTTTTTTTTCACACCTCATTCTTAAATCCTCTCCCCATTCTCTCACAGAACTATGAGCAGTGCTTCCCAACTTTTTTTTTTACCAGAGACCATTTGACAAGGGATCAGTTGACCAGGGACCACTTGAACAGGAACCACTTTGACCATGGACAACTCTTCAACATTAGTATCAAAAGAGTTACAAATCAGTTTTTGGTCAATTTTAGATTTGGTTTGGCTATTTGTGGTGCTGATTCAGAAAACTGCATTGGATAGACCACATCAGCTCTAGTTTCTAATATAGAAAATACGCCACCCAGTAGTCACCATCTTCTCGCTCACAGAAAACCACGTTTAATCATCTAGAGCTGATGTGGTGGTAGTAATCTTTTATGAGTAGTCAGCCTCTCCCCCTCCCGACATCCCCATTGCTTCGGCACTATAAGAGGGTTTTGTGAGACCAGTTGCTCTCATTGCTGTGTGTTTTCGAGGTAGTAATGATGATGCTGGGGATCATATTTTCGTTCTTGGAGACCACTAGTGGCCTGGGGACCACTGGTGGTCCACGGACCACAGGTTGGGAACCACTGACTGTGAGGAATCTTTTCCCCCTAGCTGTGATACCATGTGGCTTCAGTGCCTGTCTGCAATATCAGGTACAGTAACAGCCAGATAATCAAATTTGCAGTCTTCCATCTGATCAGCAATATTTTATAATTCCAGGATTCAAGTCTACACTAAAGTGAGGAGGAGTTATAAAGTATACGGGAAAACAGATTCCACACTTTAGTGGCAGTGGTCACATTGGAAGAGGGTGGCATTTCCAGCCACTTCTTGTTATTCTTCAGGATCACTAGCATTCAAGTTATTTGAGATATAAAAGACAACCAAAACAGGTGAGGATAGGGTGACTTATAGAGCTCCCATTCAAATGGTTTCAAAGGCAACGGCTGGTAAGAGAACACTGAAGGGGACAAAGAAAAACATCCGGAAACTCATAGGAAAAGTTGGAAAAAATCATACTACTAGCAGAAACTGAACACAAAATACAAGACAAAGCTACAATGATTTGAAAAGCCAGTTGGGGAAAGTTTGTACATGTGGAGAAGGAATATCCATAGAAAAATTAAGGAGGAAGATAAATGATCCTAAAGATATGCGGTCCCAGAAAAAAACTGGGGAAGTGGGGGAAATTTTTCCTTTAAAATGAGAAAATAATGATTACTGAATATTTTCTTTTAGAATAATGAATATAATGTTGGTAAAGTGTTGGTAAAGGTAAAGTGTTGATACATTTACTCATTCAAAATATTTCTAAACACTATGTAAAAGGCAGACCTTTATGCCTGACTATGTACTGGACTATATAATGACAATTCCTTTTTTCAGTTATGGTAAATAATGTATTATGTACAATTGACACTATATTATAGAAGCATTTATGCTTAAGCTAAAACTAACTGGTCCCATTGTAGCAATATCACACAAATGTCTTATATCACTGCATGGTGTCCTCCTCTCTAAGGAATGCCTGCCGCTGGAGACATGGTTTTTGACCTCTGCCTGAAATTAATTAGTTTCAAGAAACCCATTTGGAGGGTGAACTATGATCTAAAATCAATCCAAATTAAATTTGAAAGTACTAAACTAAAAGCTAGCATGCTGGTTAGTGATTCAGCATGCTCTGAAGATGGAAACATCTTCTGTCTCGATCTTCAAAGCATGCTGAATCACTAGCCAGAATGATAGCCTTCAGTTTAGTATATATATTCACAGCAAATATAGCTTTCAGTTTAGTATATATATATTCACAATAAACGTCTGGCCTTCCTGCTCTTTTATTCACTCGTTCCTATTCTAATTATCATTATTCTCCCCCAAACTATCACATACTAATTACTTTAATTCAGACTCAATAAAAGACATAGCCACAATATTACTGAAAGAAATAGCGCTTTCATTAGAGCAGAGATGCCTCTTTGTCAGAATACAACAAACACATTGTCAATTTGCACAAACTGGAGACTGAAAGCCCCATGTTAAGCTTCAATACTTTTTGCCAAAAAGCAAAGCAGATGCAAAATCAAACAATAAATTTCTGCCTTCAGTGGTTACCCCCGTATCCACTTCAAAGTACACTATTTGAAGAGCAAGTCATCTGAAGAGGCATCTCTCCTGAAAAGCTATGCATTCCATATCTTTGCAGACTGTAGTGGAAGGCAAATGGGTCTGGAGACTTCTTGTTAAGCTTGCCTTGGCCAAACCTACAAAGCCAAGGATAATGTCATACAGATACTTGTGACTAAGGAAGTGAAAACTGTTCAAGAGGTTCTCCAAGTTTCATCTTTGTTTTCTTCCTGACCTGGTTTCATACTAGATTGTGAGATTTACTATTACTCCTGCACTGAAATGCATACCTTATAAATCCATTTTAATTCACATGTGTATCTTCTCACTTTGCGTAATTCATCCAAACTACAACGGAACCATGTTTCTATGACATTGTCTAGTCAACCCTACACCTTTGTGGATTTGATGTTTGCAGATTTCATTATTCATCATTTCATTAAAATGTTCTGTCTAGGAATGTCTGATCATTTTCTGCCAGAAGTTGTGCTGGAAGATCTAGAAAAGTGGTCCCCAACCTTTTTTTGACCAGGGATCACTTTGACCAGGAACTACACTCCAACATTAGTACCCAAAGGGTTACAAAATCAGTTTTTGGTCAACTTTAGATTCTGTTCAGTTATTTGGGGTGCTGATTCGGAAAACTGCATTGGATATACCACATCAGCTCTAGTTTCTGATACAGAACATATGCTATCCAGTAGTCACCATTTGCTCGTCCACAAAAGACCATATTGAATAATCTAAAACAGATGTGGTCTATCAAATCAGCACCCCAAATAACCCAAAGAACAGGCCTAAAAACAAAGACACTAAGGCACCCCCTTTTCCATGTGACACATGGAATGGCTCCACTCAGGGGAAGGGAGTAGGAGGAGAAGCAGCAGTTAGGAGGCTTGTTGTCGTGCTTTTTGTAGGTAGTCAGCCTCACCTCTCCTGACATCCCCATTGCCTTAGCACTATAAGAGGGT